AGTTGTAGAGTAGCCAAAAAATTACGAACTTATTGAAATTTTTTTCAATTTCAAAAAAACATATTTCAATTATTATTTATTCGATAAATATAAATATGTACAAAAATTTTTCACTTTGTTCGGATATTTACGTTTTTTTGGTTTTGTAAACAGTAATAAGTTCTAAATGAGTATAAAAATTATGCCATAAATGTGACAAAAAAGACGGAAAAGAAATTTTTTCCAAAAAATCACACAGCAATATTTATAATAATAAATAATTACACAAAAAGACAAAAGATATATCCGCTTAGGAGGAAATCAGAGTGACGAGCCAAGTATCATCTGCTGCTATGGGTCAACCAGGCTATAGTTTGGCATGGCGGGTTTGCCATTGCAATTATTATAGTTAGGAAGTAAATTTGTGTGGTCTAAAATTTAAGCGAAAATCCCCAAACATCCCCATTAATGGAAATAGTAAATATAATAAGAAATAAACTGTCTTGATATTAAAAAAAAAAGTTATTTTCCTCAAAAAATTAATAAAATAGCGAGATGAAAAATGATTGCTGGGGTGGGAAAAATGTACGTGAAAGCTGTGTCTTGTAAAACTTTTCAGCAATAAATAAATGTAAATAATGAATTATTAAGATGCATTGTGAGATCAAGTCGGTTTTTCATGCGTGAATGTTCTAAAAAATTATTATACAAAGAGCATAGTGAAAATTGTGAGAAACTCCATATTTACAGTCCGACGCATAAAGGTGCGCGTGATAGCAATATATTAGATAACTTTAAATATATTCATAAAATACTACTTTCAGGAAAATTTTTGACGGGCTGGGTGATGCAATTTTTTGCACCAGGAGTGACCAGGAGCCCATTTCAGATCATTGATGCCGGTAATCGAAAAGAAATTTTGCATTACTTTATGGAAATCTTGAATTCATTAGTGCGAAATCAAATCAACTCTTACAATATACATTTACTTTTAAAGACATTTTTGGCGATTTGATGCAAACAATTCAAACATTGAAGAATTGATGAAAATGAATAAATTATCCAGTCTAGTTCATGCTTAGTATTAGTTTCATTCAAAATAAAGATGAGGAAACGTTTCTGAATAATATTATGCAGGTCGTGGTTGTTATTAATAACATGGTGGCACCGGATATAAATATTCATTATAATTTCACAAATAATTTTGTTAAGTTTCACGTTTTTGA